GACGTTGCTTGAAGCGCGTCCACCATAGACTTTGTATGTAAACCTGCTGCTCCTGATGCTGAAATCGCGTTCGGTGTGAACGCACCATTACATTCCTAGCATTCCAAWGCAGGATCCCATCCAAGTCCTAACCAGGGCTGACCCTGCTTAGCTTCTGAGATCAGACATGTTCTGGGAGGTATGGCTGCTAACCTTATACACATGGCTGGCTATGTTTGGTACTGTAGGGTAAAAATGGTCAATTATGGTCTTTTTCCTGCACTGTGAAGCAGAAAAGGAATGAAGATGAAGATTTTTTTTATCACTTACTAAAAAAAGTTTGATGGAAATAGTGTGAAAATCTGAGACCTTTTTTTTTTACATTTTCAAACTAATCCTGGTTTTAGTGTTTCCAGTATCACCCATTCACATTAATCTCCACCTGTGTGAGTGTGACTCATCTTTTCCTGTTAAACAGAATGTGAAGAGAATTTTTCACAGGATGGATACCTTCTTTGCGCATGCCAACACGGAAACACTTCTTCAGGCGACAGTACTGGCACTGGTTCCTGTGGTGCTGATCAATCTGGCACTCTCTGTTTGACCTGAGAACATGAGTTAAAAAATAACAACACAAAAGGTCATTCATTGTTCATGAAATATGTACAGTAGACAAATGCTCATCTGTTTCCCCCATGAAATCATAAAATGACTGTAGTAACTCAGCCTGGTCCCACACGCAGTATTTCCACACATCTTCCATTTAATTCATCACAAACTTGTCCAGACTCAGACTTACAGATTACTTAGTTAATTATCAAATCATATTAGTATCTGCGTATTTGAAAGTTAGCATTGGAGCCCAATAGCAAATATTTCCTTTATATTTTGGTCATGTAAGTTTATGTTGATTTAAAGAAAGCATTCGTCACCATTAATCACAATATTCTTCTTGAAAAGCTACAGTAATATGGCATTAGAGGACCAGCACTGCAGTGGATATCTAGTTATCTAAAAAACAGGAAACAGTTCGTACAGATAAATGAAGATCTGAACTCTATAACATTATGTGTGGAGTTCCTCAGGGTTCTGTACTCAGACCAAAATTATTTATTTTATATGTGAATGATTTGGTTAATGTGTCAGGGTTGTTTAAATGTATTTTATTTGAAGATGACACTACTTTTTTTTTCGGGTAATGACATAAAACAGATGTTGGAAATTACGCAAGCAGAATTTGTGAAAATACAAAATTGGTTTAAAACTAATATATTGTCATTAAAATTTAGATAAAACTAACTATATGATATTCGGTAACAGAAAGGGAAATATTGATGTTCCATTTAGAGTCGAGGGTGTTGAGATCTGTAGAATCAGTGAGGTAAGTTTCTGGGTGTCATCATTGATGAAAAGCTGTCATGAAGACCTCACATAAACGATCCAAGAACAAAAGTTGCTAGATCTATTGGAGTACTGTATAAAGTAAGGGAGTTATTTAATGATAGAGCTCTGTATATGTTGTATAATGTAATGGTTGTTCCACATTTGATTTATTGTGTTGAAGTCTGGAGGAAAGCATGTAAAACAATTATAAATCCTATTTTTGTTTTACAGAAAAGAGCTGTAAGAATTATTGCTGGTAAACACTACAGTCACCCATCAAATGTATTATTTCATCAGTTGAAATTATTGAAGTTACATGAATTGGTTGATTATAATATTTTACAGGTTATGTATAAGGCTCATAAAGGTACAGCGGGTAAAATAAGTACTGAACTATGGAGGACCAAACCTATCATTATTGGAAATAAATGTATAAATATTTAAC